TGACTGGTATATTTTTCTTAACACAATGTCTGCAAAGTTCATCCACGTTGTAGCATGTGACAGGATTTCCTTCCTTTTTGTGGCTAAATTATATTCCATTGTATGTGTGAGCCTTGTTTATCCACTTGTCCACTGATGGACACTTGGGCGGCTTCCACCTCTTGGCTATTGTGAATAATGTGCTATGAACACGGGTGTGCAGATACCTCTTTGAGACCCTGCTTTCAATTCTTTTGAATACATACCCAGAAGTGAGATTTCAGGATCATATGGTAATTCTATTTTTAATTTTTTGAGAAATGCCATCTATTTTCCATAGTGGTTGGATAGTTGGATTTTAATTATTCCCTTTATATATGCTGACACTGGGCATAATAGAGCTTTTATAAACATAAACCAATGGAATGACAAAGCTGGGGGCTTGGTTTACTGATTTGTCCTTATTTTCTCTCCTCCTGAAGTGCAGCTGTTTTTCTTACTCCTCAATACCTCTGTCTTCTAACTTATCACTGAAAAGGCATATACTCATGTATATATGACAGTCATGAGTGAGGCCCCAGTTTAATTCTGGTTCTGAATCTTAACTTCAGAGATATGAGCAAATTTTGTATATATGCTTGACTATGAAGATGCTCAAGGTATGTCTATATTCCAGGAGGAAATTTATTTCTTTTCTCCCACTGAACTATTCAGTTACTTTTGCTTTAAGAACTTGAGGTAATAATCATACATGGGAGGACTCTTTTGGATATTCTCTGTTTGCATGAAATGTATGTCAATAAAGTAATTTATTGTTTGAATGAGTTTTCTAAAGGAAAATCAACATTTATTCATCATTACGATTAGGCCTTGTGTCTAATTTATATAGTTTCCACGGGTAGGCTAATATTGAAAATAAGCCCAGTGTATTGCAAATTCTTCAGGTGCATTATGACTTCGGTCTGCGCAACATTCTGTCAGTTCTTCGCACCTTGGGAGCAGCGAAAAGAGCCAACCCCACAGATACGGAATCCACCATTGTCATGCGTGTGCTACGAGACATGAATCTCTCTAAACTGGTAAGATTCACAGATGGAAATGTTCTACCCACTTAAATATCAGTTCAACTAACTAAGCACAAATGAGACTTGAAATATTTATTTAAAATGCCTAATTATCAGATAAAGCACTGGAAAACATAATTTTAAATTATACTTTTTCAGTATATCTAGTCTAAAATATGCCTATTCCAATGGAATTAAAATGGATTAAAAAAATTCACACATGTGGCTTCTCAGCAATCATACCTGAATCAATTTTGTGTTTCAGAGCTGAAATCTCCCCTTCTCTAAAATCTGTAGAGCCTGGCAGGAAACTGTATATAAATTTTACAACTGTGTAATAATTTCCCACTCTTATTTCACAGTAGACACTGATAATCTATGTCCAGTGTCAGTGGATCTATGTACAGGGTGACAAAATGACATATTTTTATTTCAAAATAGAAGTATGTACCAAATTCCAATTCATGAATTTGCTTTTATCTGTCATTTAAAATATTCTTTTAAATTTAAATTAGGCATTGTAGACTGTATAGTATCTCTCTAAATTGGCTATTTTATGGAAAGATTGTCATGTAGGCAATATTTTCTTTACTTCCATTTTCTCCCTTTCTTTTCTCTTCTTCCTCTTTTCTCCCCTTCTTATTTATTTTTTTTAAGGAAAAGGTGAGTAAAATATTACTCAACCTCAATGAAGGTGCTATTTTATTTATTTATTCACAGTTTATGTTGAAATAACCTGGACTGTGTTGGGCATTTTCAGTTTATCTGTATATTGCTGTTTGTGCCAAAATAGTCAGTCTGATTTCTCTTTCTTTTCAATTTTAGATTGATGAGGATGAACCCTTATTTTTGAGTTTGATTGAAGATCTCTTCCCAAATATTCTTCTGGATAAGGCAGGTTACCCTGAATTGGAAATGGCGATTAGTAGACAGGTAATATATTTCACAGAGCATCAAGTGCTGTTGTTGCCGGTAAACATGCACTGGGTCCTTGTCTACTGTGCATACCAATAGAAACACAGAGAGAGAAATTTGGGCATCTAACAGAAAGGAGTTTATTTAGGTTGCACAAGACAGGAGCGAGGCTGGTTTCACCACACATACCAAACTCCTCCAGCAGGCGGGAGTTATAGCTCGGAAGGGTCTAGCTACAGAAACTTGTACATATTCAAAGGCTGGTTATTGTTGTGCATGTTCAAATGGGGATGAGCGTGCATGCACAATGTGGTGTCATGTATGTTACATGCAGCCACCATGTGTGTTACGTGCAACAGTCATGTGTGTTACATATGAC